TGACGACGGCTGGAATTTGCACGCCAATACAGCAACTGAACGCCTACTGAGTGGCGATGCGTAGTTAGCCTTTTCAGATTAATCGCGTATTCTGCTCCATCGAATAGATGTCCATTGACGTATATGGTTTGAAACGTCTGAATGCAAACACTCAGTAACAATCTCCGGACGGGTTCAGGGCCGAGAAGGGAGCGTGATGGTGTGGGGTATGTTTTCCTGGCATTCCCTGGGTGATCTCATCACTCTGGATTAACAGAAGTAAGCAGCCATCTTTAGGGACCATGTCCATCCCTATATAGGGGAGAGTGGGGCTCATTTGGACAGTTGGAAAGGTTTTTGCATTTGCAATTAATGCATTTCTTAACCAAATTTATGGAACTTTCTGAAAAACGTGATTAAATGTTTGGCTTTAAAACACGATAAATATTGACTATAAGTAATACATTTTTATCGTAAATTATTGGTTTTAAGTGTGTAGTGTGTTCCAATATTCCCCAACAGTGGGTACATTTGTACACACTATAGGCACATACGGACAGAATTTTTGTATCAAGAAACAAGTAAACATAATAAACAACTATATTAATTGTTTTGCATAAGAACTATTAAAAATCAAAAATTTAACTTCATTAAAAAGAAATATGACATTTTGTAAATAATGTAGCAATTTAACAAAATATTGTAGAATTGTAGATTAATTTTAAACTTTCTTATTGAGTTTACACGTGCCGTTGTGTTTATTTGTTTTTGCAGTTTAAGTTCAATTTGTTCAAACTCTTCGACATATTATTAACAGGAGGGAAAATGAATCCATCACTACGTTCTTCCTAGCAAATTCACTTCATTCTGCCCATTAATTTTTGAACTTCACCAACATAAATCTTTCTGTATTGTTTGTGCAGTAGATACTTTATATTCTTAGAGCAGATTTTTATGCGCAGCTGTGAATACTTGTAGTGATATATATTTTGAATGAAAGTGCTAATGAAACTTTTCCAATGCAATTTTTCATTATCTTTGATAACATCAGTTGTCTTATTTATTTCTTCTCCTGTCTCATCTCCCTGTTATTCCAATTTCTGTCTTTTTATTTTGCTTAATCTATTTTGTACTGTAGAAGTTGTTACTGTTTCAGGTAGCTGCAGAATCTCTATTTTATCTTTCCCTCCAACACTGCTTCAGCAGAAATGGAAGCCCGAGCTGATTTTCTTTTATATTTTCTGACCATTTTGTTTCCCCTTGAAATAAGTCATCGATTTTGTTTTAATGCTTTATATTTTTAAAATGGGCCCCTGACAAAGCGCCCCATGTTTGTGTCCCTATGGGTTCCATATTTTTACAATTAAAAGTATTAATTAAACAAACTAGGTTACAATCAAGTTACATTAGATAAAGGCTTAATGATATACTTTGTGGATAATGTATTGATGGTTACCATTTCAATTACCAAGATTAAGAAATCTGCATATTAATGTACAAGAACAACATTTAGCGCAAACGTCTATAAGGATATTTCCCTGTACATATCTTCGTTCGGAGAATATTTGAAAGTTCCACAGGATAAAAAAAGTTGCCAATAGCTCTCAAGAAAACAAATTTTCTTCCTTAAACTCTTAGAGATATTTTTGATGACCCAATGTGCGCCGTATCCAAATAATCCCCCCCCCCCTTACAGACGTATTTCCTCAGCAAGACGGTATCTACCAGCACGACAACGCAACGTGTCATTCGCGCGGTTCGAAGAGCCCCAGGATGAACTTACAGTACTCCCCCCTGGCCACCAAACTCCCCAGATTTATACCCAATCGAGAATCCAAGAACCATTTCAATCGGTTACTTCGCTCCATGAATCCGCGACCGAGGAGCCTTTTTAGTGCGATTTTTATATAGCTGCCTCTCAAAGCCAGTCTTCGTAATTGAATATGTCACGGTATTTCGCGTCTTTCAGTCCTGCCGCTAGATGTCGCATGACCGCAAGCACTACACAGTCGCGATGCGACATCTAGCGGTAGGACCGAGAAAGACGCGAAATACCGTGGCGTATTCAAGCGCTAAAACGCGCCTTGAGAGGCAACTGCATAAAAATCGCACTATAGTGCTGCTGGCCAAGGTATGTCCCCGCATCCCTATCGGTACCATCCAGAACCTAATTGACTCTTCCTGAACGTCCCGCGACAACCAGCGCAGCAGAAGGGAGTTATTCAGGATTTTAATGGGTGGTCACATTAATGTGGCTGGACTGTGTATAATTTTCATATGGGCCAAAGCCCATCGGTCCAAAGCAAACGTAAATATTGATGGACGTTTTCCTGAAGATTTCTTCCTTGACACATTGCCCGATAGCACATACCGGAACGAAATTTTACAGCGAACTCATTTGTGTACGTTTCATTAAGAATAATAAAATTTGTATTTCAAATTCAATAACGTAAAAATTGTTTGGGGAATAACATTCATAACGTAAAAAAGTGGCCAAGAATTACAAACTACTGGTTGAGTAACGTAGGAACGACATGCTCGATTGTCACCAACAATATAACAGAAATATGATTACATTTTCAAGATTCCAATATTCCAGCTAACAACACAAAGAAATAAAAATCAATCCACTTTTGAAGTTTCTGCACGATTCATCTCTTAAAGCGCCAGATTCTGGACAATTTCACTGTGGATGAACCGATTCGTTTTAAACGCACATCATTGTTGAAAAACTACTTACCAACGAAACAAGAAGAGGTGATACAAGTGTGGTTTCGACAACACGATTGACTTTTTTCAATGGGACCTTGATTATATCGCCATACTCAACGCTCGACCCGTTGCCCCCTTGAAATCAGGGGTCGATACCGACACTACGATAAGAACTCTTGGCCCACGCAACACCACTGTGCACACACCAAAAAGAAAACTTTTTATTAATATTACTTTAGAAATACACAGAGAAATGGAATGGAATTGTTCAGGATGCGGTCTCTACATCCTAAATCCCAACCATACTTGACGGAAGACATCCCGAGCAGTATTGCCGAGTCTGGGCGCCAGCCTCGGGAAATATCGAGATTGCGCTTTCAAAGCCTCATCCTATTTTCTTCGTGAAATGGGAATTTTAAATCCCTTTTCGTGTATTGTTCGAAAATGTTTTCAATTACACTTATTTTTGTGAAGATACATTTTTCAAGTACTCCCCGTCTTCCATTGGAAGTAGCCAAACCCTGCTTCACGAGTATAATACTTCTCGAACGACCATTTATCCTGAATATTTACTTTGGAGACAGCCTAGCAATTATCTTTTTTATACCACAGCACCCATATTATACAAAATCCCAAGAAAAAACTTTAATTCATCTCTCAAGCTCAAAATATATGCAAGGGCAAATATTCACTCAATTTTCCCTTCAAAAGTGACGTACAGGGAGCGGATTTTAATGAAATATTTTTTTCACTCTAGGACAGTGACGTTTAGTACAGAAATTCATTTTCTGTTATCACAAAAAGAAAAAAACCATTTCTATAGGACTTTCTTTTTACATTATTTGTCGATTTCGACTAATAAATCATTTTGTACAATTTTCACTGACTTCGTTGATTTTAGTACAGATATATTCAGTCAAAAAACAGTAAAAATTGTATATAACGTAAGGGGGAGAAAATGATCAGCACACGTTTTCTAGGATCTCTTCCCATCTTTTTAACTATTATAGTTGTGAGATTAGTAAGTTTAAAATAAATAAATAAAATTTAAAAAAGCGCTAGATTAGCAATATTTGAAAAACTAGTCATATTCGTTCCCGAGTTATAGAAAACTTATTTGTATGGGTAAACAAACTGGAGATTTCATTTTTCTGCACTGCTAACAAAATTGTAACTCACCCTTACCTATCCTCCTACCACTACAGGCAAAAGGAGAGTTCAACAAAACGTGCAAATAGTGAAACCACATTTACATACAGAAGCAAAACAAGGGGGCATCTTAGCATTTTCTCAACATATCAGAGAAACTAGACAAAACCTGATCAAGATGGGGTCTTTGCCCTGAAGCTGTAGTACATTATTTGTTACAAGCATATGAAGTCTTTTTAAACAAAATTATACAACACAAATGTAAACTAATTCATTATAGATCACTGTATTGTTAAAGTGAACATGATTTTTCTTTGTCATGATTAGTATAGTCTCTAATTTTGTAGAAACAGTTATGCAGCAGAGAATATTTTATTTTTAAATTAGATTTGTGAAACGACTTCAATTGTTTAATGTCATCTGGCAATGTGTTGTAAAGTAACGTACATGTATGTGGATTTCTAATAGTGAGCTGTTGATACTGACACCTTATGCAAGTGATTTTTATGACTTGTGTTGTAATTATAAATATCAGTATTGCATGATATGTTCCCATTGTTAAGTAAGTCAGTTTTGACAAATATTACAGACAATGTAATAACATAAATAAATAGGCAAGGCAATGGTAAGATTCCAAGCTCAATGAAGAAAGGCTTGCAGGGATCAAGCGGATGGCATTTTTTCAACATTCTAATATTTTTTTTTTCAATCTGAAGGTCTGGGTTTTACATAATGAGTTTTCCCAGAATATTATGCCATATCTCAAGCAGAAACGTGCATTTGCAAAATACACGCTACGAGCTGCATGAAGGCCGACAGAATTTGAATAAATTCAGAATGCGTAACATAATGAACTTAATTTAGTGTTTAATTCTGTAATTAATAATATCATTTTAATGGTATTTGCTTCAAGAAATATTTACGAGGTGCAACAAATGTTCACCACAGAATTCCTGAGTAGACTAGAGGATTTCTTTGCTCATATATTGTAATGTCTGCCGTTGCGAGTACTGTGTAATCTAAGGTTCCTGTGACACCTATTAGTGTCACACTTGGTTTGTCTGCTTTCACGATAAAGGCTAAGATTTTCTTTTAAAAAAACAGTCCAAACCAAAGTTTGCGAGCTGATTTTACATGAACAAAAGGAAGAAGACTTTATTACATCAGTAACACATCCAACAGCTTAAGTTGATCACCTGAATTGGTTTTAATCAATTTTTTGTTTTTAGGGCATTTTTCTTTGTATTCAGAGCATTTTAAAAGCATTTTATTGATCTTTTTTGCAATGTTTTAAGTCATCAATATCCGCCCCCTCGTGATGTAAATAATACAGTGACATACTGATATCCATTGCTATTTTATTCTTCTAAAATTTAAACTGTGTTCCATTAATCAAACCAAAATGGGAACTAGTAAATTTAATTGAAATTTACAGTACAGATGTGCCTTCACAAGCAAAAACTTGTTACGGTTCAATTACTTCTCAGTTAAAAGATACTAGTTATAGTGCTCATGTCTACATTAACTTGAGAACAGGCATGTGCACATTTGGTCATGAGCAATACATGCACGAGTTTATATTCACATGGTACTAACCATTTTTATTTGCTTTCTTTAATTTAATACAACCAATCCACCTAATGTCTTAATTCTTTGAAGTTTTGCTTTGTATTAATTGATTGATGAATTTCATATGTAACAAATTCAGAAAGCCAATTCAATACGTTACATTTTTTTCTTTGCATACTAAAATTAAATAAAAAGATCAGAATAATAAAGAAACTGATTTAATATATTAGTCGTAAGTTTTCTAGAGGACAATACATGTTTTCCAAAAACCTTGTGTAAGTTTATTATATACAAGGCTAAAATTTGGTAATGCAAAACTATGTTAATTTAATAACTTCAAGTTCATTTTGTTCACATTATCTTTCACTCACAAAATAAATAAATAAATAATTAATTATATAAATAATATTAGCTTATTTGAAGATTTATTATTAAACTTTAACAGGATAGTCAGGAATGTGAGCCACTAAATGCAGCAAAAAACAAATAAAACAATAAAACTGCACAAATTGAACTGCATTCACTTACACATGGCAGGTAACAGTTTTCAATAAAATTAAGAGCTCAACGAACCAAGGTCAGATGCCAAATGAGAAAACTAGACACTGATGTATAATTAGACTGTAAACAGATTTTTATCAATATGGCTCATTTTACATTTCATTCTACAAAAAGCATAAAGACATACAATAAATCATTTTTTTAAATATTATTGCCTATTTTGTGGAAATTGCAAAAGTACATTTCACACAAAAATTATTATTTCCATCTTAATAGTTGTCAATTTGCGTCACACGTTCAATAACTATATGAAAACAATTGTTCTGTATAGTTTGAAGAATATTTCATTATTAATAGGACCAATTAGAATCTTAGACATCCTGAATGAACAGAACACTCTTTACAAGTTCACTGCAATGTAACAAAATTCTCAAGTAAGTATGAACTTGCAAATTATTGCACATCAGTGAATTGAAAATTGAGGAAAAAACAAGAATATATATGAAATATTTAAGAAGTTTCGAGAGAACTTCAGAAATACAAGAATTGCTGTCATTTTATTTTCATGTAAGACACACACACTTTTTTTTTAAATATCTTGTCTTGTTTGAATTCACCTTAGAAATTAATTGAATAATTAATTGAAAGCTATTACCTGCTCTCTTCTCAAGTAAAAAAAAATTAATATATTAAATATGACTCCCAGTTATTTCCTTCTTTTTTCCAAGTTTTTAAAGCCTGTGGCTTTCAACAAGTGCAACTAACATTTTAGAGTCAATCTTCAAACTAAAAAAGCTGACTTCAATTTTCAATGAAAAAGCAGTGTATTTTGACTGAGACATTCTGGAAGGACTATTTTTTTTAGTCTTTATATGCTGTTTACTCCAAAATGTACCTGCACTAATGTTGAATATTAATTACCTTTAAAGGCTCAATGAAAATATTCTATGAATATACAATTTAGAAAATGTAAATAAACAAGAACTTTGTTCATTTGTTCATCTCATTTTCACTGTTATTTTACAAGCGGTATTTACAAATTCAGGCATTTCATACAATGCAAATAAAATGCATAAGTAAGTTCTTTCATAAAATGTCATTTCACCATATTTTTATCAACTTGAAATAGTTCAGATATTTTATAAAACGTTTGGCTCATTCCTCATACATATCTAAAAAACTTGAATTTATCAAATATTTTTTTTTTTACAAACAGAGGCATGATGGACTGATAACATTTAATATAAATAATAATGTCTCACATTATTTTAAGTCCCACACATTTTATAAAACATCTGATTCCAGGCACTAAATTAGGCTATAGAAATTACATAGTATGTCATAAGCCCATACGTTCAAAAATTGTTTACTACGTAAGCATATATCTCTTCAATATACAAGATTTCATAAACACTCGCTGGACAATCATCTGCACCAATTTTAAAAATATTTTTTGTACATTTCAATACATCCTAATAATTAACTAAAAATCCAGTTTCACATCCAAAAAGCTCCTTACTAAAAATTGTAGAATTTGTATTATTGTTCGATCTCATCACCAAATGAATAAATGCACATCAGTCACAAAACATCATTTCTCCAGTCACATTAGTAATGATTCTTATTGTAAAGCAGCAATCAAAAGTTGAGTATTCTGTTTGTAATCAATCTCAAAATACTAGAAAATGAATTAAAAGCCACAAAATTTTACAATGCAAATTAAAATAAATAAAAGCATGTTGCAATATAATGCTGCAGTATAAATATATACATAAATATGCAACAAGTCAAAATTAGGTATTTTGTTATTTTTTAAAGGAATGTACCGGAAGAACATGAAAACTTCTGGAAGTCATAAATGAGTATCTGTAATTGAAAGAATAAACAGTAATTTTCATGGATGATTAGCAAACTTCTGCCACCTCTCAAGAATTGAAAAAATATTTTGGAATGATTACATTGCAATGTTATCCGTTATTTCTCATTGCTGTTTTTGAGCCTACATCGTTACCCCTGGCACATCACGTTGCATAACCAAAGGATATGTGTGAAATTGAAGTTTCAATGAAATACATGAAGTAAATAATCATCACTTAGTGTTGTGTATTATTCAGCTCTTAAAAACTGAAAAATCTAACTTTCCTGTGGGTAATTTTTCTTTTAACATATGCATTACTCCCAATATTATTCATTAGTCCCATTGACCTGTACAATTGTAGTTCCTGAAGCATCCAAGAATGGCAGTATATTTCAGAATAAGATCCATTTAAGCATTTTGTGTAATGCCCTTTTGGACTAGGCAGTGTGATGTGTGAAAAGGAAGACTTCAGATACAGTGGAAAGCTTGACAAGAACTTTCTGAGTGAGGCACATCTCTCAACAAATCAATGTACGACTTATCATTTCTGCAAGAGAATATTCTGGTCCTTCTGCATTAGTGTGAGAGAGCACCACGAAGTCTTAGGCTCTACCTCAATTATTTTCTTTACAGTAAAAACCTTCTCTAATAAGGTGATCACTTCCATTAACAGTAAATTTTTAATTTAAACAATCGATTTTTCCGTAAGACATTTACAAATTACCTCTTTTAAGCGGTCACCTGGTATTGCAGCCAGGCTCTTTTCTTAGACAACCTTTATCAAGTGGCCATCTTTAACAATAAAAAGTAGAAGAGTAATGGAGATATTGTTGATTCAGTATTGTCTTGCAAGAGACAGACGCCTTCACATATAAGTGACCTCTGCAGTCGCTTCTCAAGTAGGGGGATTAATTTGTTTCAGGTAATAAAGATCAAAAGATCATTTTAATAAATGTCCCCATGAAATAACAGCTCAATGAATGTGAATTCCAATTTGAAGACTAAATCATTTACAAGTTTGTTTCCATGAAAATGGAAAGAGAATGACTGGCCAAGAGGAGGCAAGTGATCCTAGTAAACAAGAAAGTGGTTTCTGATAGAAAATTTGTAATTTGCCAACATTGTTAAGTGTTGAAGGACAAAAATTAATGAAAACAATATAAACCACTGAACACTTTTAGAAAGTTTCAAATGCTGTGCAACTGAAGAGAGATGTAAGCACTAAACAAACACCTCAACAAAAATTTTGTTCTAAAAAAGAAGTAAAATCTATGCTTGAACATATTTTTGTGTATTTTCAATTTAACTGCAGTTAGTTGTTGATGTATTTGTAGATTTAATTACCTTAGGTAATTAAAATGATTTACGGAAAACAGATTTTATTTCACAGCAATTAACACAATTAGACTAGATGTAGGGATGCTTTCCATAACTCCAAAACCTTGATTAACTGGCCATGAATATTAACAGCCAATATTTGCCAGAACCATTAGTGGCCACTAACATAGATTTCATAGTATTTCATTTCTAATTTCACTGTTCCTTTTGTCATTGTTTACTATCAGTTTTATGTGATTTTACACTGATTATTCTCCAAAAAATGTAATGATACAGCCAGTCCACTATTTTTCTACCAAATTTCCAAAAATGTATTTCAAGATTTCAGCTTCTATAATAATCTAGAACGGTTCAGAAAGCTGCACGTGTCGTAGGGAAAAATCATTTTTAAGTACCTTTTATAAGTGGTAGGGCCAGCAACAAATTTGCAATAATTATTTTCCTTAATATTACAAAAATATTAATAACAGTTTAAATTGCAGACCTACATGCATAGAAAAATAGCCCTGAGTTTGATCACTGGTGATTCGTTTGGTCATGCATAGACCAGCAAGTGCACAAATATTGTAACTCAAAAAGTGCTTCTATGCATCAACAAAAGAAACCAACATTCATTATCAACATACTTATACAACAGTCTTGGAACATTTCCATCCAATGAATTTCCACTACAGCAACAGACATGACAGACAATTTCAGAATAGAAGCAACTCTACAATAATATTAACCTTCTTTGCATTCATTATAATTCTATTAATGTTATTGTTTATGCATTATTACTCATATTGCTTTGAATCAGGATTTCACCAAAGACAACTCCACTGTTGGGCAATAAATTATTTGAATAGCATAAATTTATAGATAGCTATTTCTTTCATAATTTCCATACGTTCTGAAGTTCACCAAACCATTTAAATTTCCAAAGTTCCACGACAGGACTAGACAAAAGCTCTAGCAATGGGATAAGTCAAATTTTGAAATAATAGACAGAATTACATATCACCCTACCTTCACAATTGCCAACGTCAAGAAGAGGTCAACAGGGACCAACAGAATAAATCGCAAAAGTTGAAGGATAATTTTATACATTTAAGAGCTAGTGCTATATGAATTTTGAAATAGGTTACAAACATTTTCTGCAAGTTTATATTCAAATATTTTCAGTTTTTGACGTATGGCAAGGTTGCATATATTTTGAACATTTTCTATAATTTCATCCCTTTCTGTGGGAACACAGATGGTGACAACCTTTATTTGAAGAACTAATTCACCGTTCACTATGTTGCTCTATACACACAACTGTTTTCTACATCAAGAGATACTAAAATAAATTTGCAATGTGTTTATGGACCCCGGAGTAAAAGAACACCAGAGTTTTTACAAAGCTATTATGCATGACAACAGTTTTGAATTGTTTTGTAAAAACCCAGTAAGTATTTAAAGACAGAAGCTTACGGTTAAGAAAAATTCTGATAAGAAAAAACTAAATGATGAAACAGTAAACCCATATCTAAACAAAGATACACCAAAAAATACTATGATGCAGTCTGTTAATACACTCCCTCCACTGGTATGCGCTGTTAAAAATTGAATTGCTTTGGATGAGCTACAGCAGAACTTCACAAATCTGCACTCAACATAACAGCAACCACAGCACAATGCACAAGCCATAGCTCTCAGTTTCTGAAGTTAATATGAGCAATCGTGATAACGTATTAAATAATCGCTTAATAAAAGCAGAAACTAAACTAACACTCCATCAGTGAATAACAGATTTTCAGAAAGTAACCTCCATTGTGCAAAAAATTGTTACTCATAATTGAAGATAATGGCTATTTCACTGTTTTCAAAATGAATAATTAAAAAAAACAACACATTATACAACAATTTGAAAGAGTATGCCTACAATGTTGAACTTTTCCGATAGGCTTTCCTACCTGTCAAGAAAATAACATAACTTTTCATACTCACCAAGTTCTTAATTTTCATACAAAAACATTCCGAAAAATGTTGATGTCCGAGACTAAGATCTTAAAACTTCATTACTACCCAGTATAAAAATGGAACTGACAAGACACTGAGTCATTCTTAATTATTGTTATTTCATTGTCACTTATTTTCATTCAATCTATTTTGTGTACACGATAACAACATAAATCGATACAGGAGCTTTGAGATGACATTGTAAGGCATTACAATGCAATTAAACCAAAACAATATGCTTTGTATTGACGATTACAACCTTTTTTCATTTACTCTTTCCAGTCTCAGAATGCTACATGGAATACCGTTCAATAAGAAGCAAATTAATTATGGAGAATACCAATGATGCATAGCTGTAGCTCATTCATATTCAATTATATTGATATTTATAAAACGAACTATGCTTAACAATCATTCCTGGGCAAATTACAGAGATGTTTAGTGACTCTTGTTATGTGCATTTGTTCTATGTACAAACTCTCATGCATACAAACACACACACCAAATCCAATAGGGATCAAATAAATTGAGCACCCAGTACATTATCGTTAGCTCCTCTCCTTAACAGCAAATAATAGCAGTTACAGAAATATACAGTAGTTTTAAACACTATAACTTAAATACCATTTAAATTATACTAAAATGTGCAACTGTATGACCTGCAATACATTACATAAAATCTTAAATTTGTTATACAATGACATAACTAAATTTACAGTTTTACATTTTATAAATGATGCAATTAATAACTCTTGTCACCCAGTTATTTCTTTCTTACTTTCTGGCAGTGTAATATTTCCTGAAAGGCAAATAGAAGTATTAAGACACATAAAATTGTTTCTGGCAACAGAAATCTCTACAGCCAGCCTACTTTAATCACACAGTACATCACAATTCATGACATGACCTCTCAGGCATCACACATTCTTCACAGAATGTCCTGTTTCTTCACAACCATTATGTTAATTATTCCTTGTGTACATACACACATTCTAGGTTAAACACACAATCTGTACATATTAGAGAGTAAACGCTACGGAATTACTCTATAAGTAATCTAATAGTGCAGGTAGAAGATAACCATATCCATTGTAATCCAATGCAAAGAAAATTTACACTTTGCTACATAAGTTGTGCCCACACACTTTAATACTGAGCTCTCACACCACTACACATGAAAAATAAAAAAGGATATTTAAGAAATTGAGAAACAGATCACTTAACACTTAAATTCAATTTGTACTGCCACTTTCCGCTTGCATTTGCTCGAATCACAGAAGTTGTGTATAACATCACAAAATTTATGAACTGCGTGAATCTGTGCCCACATCTGCACTTCTTGCATCAGTACTAGATTCAGATTGACTTCCATTTTCAGATGATGCACTACTTGACTGCCCAGAATGGTCGGAGAGAGTTTTCTTTAATTTAGGTTTATATTCTGTTATAAACACTGTCACATTGTTCACAGTCACTTCACGTGTCTGAGCAGTACTGCGATCCACATTCTTTAATCTTGGCCTGAAAAGTTGATAATTTGCAAAAAAGATTTACAATCTGTTAAAACAAAACCAATTGAAATGATCCACAATATGTTGTGTTTTCAACAAATGAAAGTTTTCAAATTATTGTTTATTATTGGTGTATTTTGAATATGAAGAGAGAATTATTTTTGTGTATAGTACTAACTTCAAAGCTTACTTTTGGGTGTGATAGAAATCAACCAACAAGTCCAAAAGAACAAATCGGAAATTCATTAAAATTAATGTGCGAAGATCTTGACTTCAGAGCAGATACGAACAGTTAAGTAGAAAACCATTAAGTAGCTAACTAATGTATTCATCCACACTACAACACGGGTATCAAAAGAGCTGGAGTGCAGAAATGCATTTTCTTCTTCTCAGAATGCATCTATAGAGAGATTACTATAAGGGAAAACTTTGACAGCTATTGCTTGGCCACTGCTAACACCAAAGTAGTAGCTGCTAGTAACCAAGTTACATCCATGCACTCATTTTGTCAGTATGTTCATTCGCAGTCAGCTCGTTTGTAAATGGCTTCAAAAAGATTCCTTGCATTGTCATTGGCCATCATATTGTTCAACTGTTTCTCGGCCTATCAGAAAGTGGTCCCTACTTAGAGTAACTGCTCTCTATGTAAGGATGCCACCGATACTTGATTTGATTTACCTTCTAACAAGGGGTGACTCAAAATGGAAGCGACAAAGAGACAAGTAATTACTTTCCAATCTAACATAAATAAGTAAATAAATAAAAGATAGCTACATATTAAAAAGTATCACTTTCTAATTCATGAACAGAGGCATTCTGAACACTGTTGCCCATACAAGTACTATTTCTGCTGGTGCTGTAATGCTGTTGGTGTTGGATGAAGGTGAAGTGGCGCTGGACATGGAAATGGCGCTGGACGTGGAAGTGGCGGTAGAGGTAGTGTTGGACTGATAAACCAAATTCTAAGAATCATCTATAGAATATTGTAAGAATGATTGAATCTAATATTCATAGGCGCAATGTGGTTAAAATTATTAAATTGATATACAAAGATATAAAACAAGTTCTTTTCCATTGTTGCGAAGTACTCCAGGAAAGTAGATTCAAATCCCGTGAAAAACTTTTTTACTTTACAGTTTGAATACACTTATCAAAATTGAAATTTTTTATCCTCAGGAGCATTTTTGTCAACCTCCTTCCACTACCATCTTTCAGCTGAACTAAATTATTTCAGGTTGTAACCCAAAATGTAATTGAAATTCATCCCATTTTAAATACATTGTTTTTCAGATTTTTAATTAATTTTATTCCAGAAATGTTACAATAGTAGGCATTATCCAGACATGAATGTGATCGGTGGAAATGTGTTTCGATGAAGTTGTGTTACTGGGTAGAGATCCATATTTACAATCCACAAATGGACGTCATGGTCTTGTATTTTGATTGTATTGTGTGATTCAAACTATGTCCATCTAAAATGCATCTTTAAGGAAATAAGGATCTTTCCCGCGGTGTTCTCTTACAACATGGTCTTATCCCTTAGTATAAAGAGTCAATCCCGACTACACGAGATCAATAAATTGAAGCAACGAACAAAAGCAAGAAACTGGGCAATCAGTTTCATAGTTCAAATCAGATTGGCACAATTTAATTAAAGTATTCTGGCATAAAATGCATTCAACAGACTCAAAGATGTTTTATGATCATCACATTGAAGCCTGGTCATGCAATTGGACACACGTAATCAAGTGTCATTTTTTCCTTAAAGATTGAAGTTATAAATACAATGCCATTCCACCTGCTGGTTCATATTGTCATTTGACATGTTCATGCAAAAGAGTCAATTCTTCCATTTTCATTGTGATAAGGGAGAAGAGCCAAAAGTGATTACTAAATCCAATTTGAAAAAGTTCCTCTCAACTAATTAAGCTTTATCATTTATCATGTTGAAGTAATGTATCCCAAAATGGTCATACAATAGTTCATGTTCTTAAGAATTTACTTTCTTTAATATAACACAATTTTGCTCTAACAATATTATATAATTATTGAGGTCTCCAAAATTTTGTTATACTGGAATTTCACTGTAATACTGTATTTACCCAAATGTACTTTACACTGTTACACAGTTACGTATAAAAAGACCCCGTAATTTGAAAGAGGCCTCTTGAGAAATTTTTAATGAATTGTTACTATTTAGTTAAAATAGAGTTTTACAAAATGTCTTATTGACTAGAAAACTGCCTTGTTGATGAAAATGTTACTGCTGAACTATTATTTCCTTGTTGCTTAAAATCATCATAATCATGGATTTTGTCACTACCCTCATCTTCAGGTATCAAAGCTTTTTTTCTTTTTGGTCTACTTTCATGCTGTGACATGACTGTTTCTGTTCAAAACGCAGATTTGTATTCGCCGGGCGCCAAACCAACTTTCCGCGCGGCCTTGTCAAACCTGCATAGTGTAACAAACTCTTGGCATTAGTTTTCAGGTTGCGTTTCATTTGATACAATGCCATTTGGTTAGAGATTTTCTTTATCGGTCTGAATTGCCTGACAAATTCATGGTGGAAGTCGAGAGCTCAAACACACATATAATAACATATTATAGATATGCGCAATATTTTACAGTCTTTGCAGTTTATTGTTACTTCAACATTTACGAGTTTCAAGAAATGGAATGGCAAATGTAAAATCTTAAATCCCAACCGACTAGATTAATCTGCTAACATACGACAACCCCGGATTTTTCAACTGAAATATTTCAGAAAAAAACTCGTCTTATATTCAGATAAATATGGTATATAATAATATATAATATAACAAGTCACTGCAATCATACCTTCAAACCAACTGGTGATATATGTCACGTTAAGGATATACATCTTCTCGATAAGTCTCCCTACATTTCGAACTAGATTGATTTGAGTGTTTTCGATGTATTTAAAAAATTGAAAAGCTTCACATGAGAAGAAGAAAGGGTCCAGACAGGATTCCTACAATTTTGCTAAAACATTGTAAATGTCTCTTCTCCAAATTTCTGAAGGTTCTATTTCATAAATTTTTATTTGAAGAGCTGTTTCCAATTGAGTGGAAATCCTCATACATTGTACTAATCTTCAAATCTGATAATAAAAGTTGTATTTATAATTATAAACCAATTTCAATTTTGAATGTAACCCCTAAATTTTTTAAATCAATAACTGATGATAAATTGAACAACATCATTTGTCCATTTTTGTCAGAGTCAGTTTGGTTTTATTCATGGAAGGAATACAGAGGCGGAATACATATTACTCTCAAAATATACTCTATGGAATGGAGAATAATTTTCAAGTCAACAGAATTAATATTGGAATTTAGGAAGGAATTTGATTCAGTGAATCCTTCCATCCTTCTCAGTAAGTAGCAACATTGTGCGATATGGATCTCTACTTCAAGGTTCAGATATTATCTGTTGGGTTGTGTACAAAATATCTGTTGGAAATGCTACTTCTGAATCCAGTGATGCTTCATCCGGAGTACCTCAAGGTTCCCACCTGGGTCCTCTATTGTTCATAATTTTTATAAATGATGTTAGTGTGTTATAAGACATGTTGAATTTCTTCTTTTTCCTGATGACCTAAAAGTTTTTTTAAGATCATGAAATCTCAAGATAAAATTGTGTTACAGGAATCACTAAATTGATCTGTCAATTGGTGCACAAATAACAACCTTAATTTAAATCCTTCTAAATGTAAAATAATCTCTAGAGCAGGGACCTTGATCGAAGGGGATTATACTATTAACACTATGATTATTGAAGATTTCAACTACACGGGATCTTTGTGTTGTTTTTGACATCAAAATATCTTTTAAATATCATCTTCATATTACAGTTAATGAAGCCAATCAGATGCTAGGTTTCGTTAAGCATAAATGCTATGAATTGCACTCGTTACAAATATTGAGATTACTATATTTGATTAGACCAGTACTGATTAACTCTTCTGTTGTTGGGTCACCTTATTTTTTGAACAGTATCTCTATAGTCTAAAAATTTTATACTGGACTAGACTTGCTGCATTCCTTGCAGGGGTTCAGAATTCCTATAAAACGCACTATTATAACATCGTAGCTTCATACTTGAATGAATACTTCAATGAAATCTTACAGAAGTTATGTTGACATGATGCTTTGCATAAACTTATAAGTGGTACCATAGATTGTTCACTGTTACTGAATTTATTGAGTGTTAAAGTTACCAACTTAAATATCAGAAGACAAATTTTTGCGCATGCACAGACACACACGTGTAGTAATATGAACGATACTTTGATAGGTTTCATTGATGTAAACGTGATTGCACTTTAAGTAATTGTAGTTTGAGTAATGGACATTTAATTTGATTTAATAGTTCTTAATGTACTCATTAGGGCAAATTGTCAGTTAAATTGAAAATAATTATTTAATAAATGACTGAATACAAATAATTAACAACATATCATGGATCATTAACATACATTAATATAAGAGGACATTAAATTTCACTGAAACTTACGGGTACCAGCTCTTCTTTGCCGATTTACTTTCAGCAGGACTGTTTTTCTTTTCAGACTTCTCCCTTACTTGCCCATCACGAGGAGCACCCTCCTTAAACCCACCTTCTTTCTTATTCGTTTTTGGTGGGGTTGGATTGTATTGCTGGGCCACTTGTTGGGCTACCAACTGAGGGTTGATTCTTGGTTTTCTGCAAACATTTTTAATCATATTATGACCAAAGAGAAATTGAAATCACAATTCCTGGGAGCAATTAAAATGCTTCCACTCAGAACAATGAATTAACATAAAGGAACAAAAGTTGCCTAAATTTCATAAGATTGAATTCACAAATTCAAGACGGGGTGGGGGGTGGGGGGGGAGAGAAAGAAAATCTCATAAGTCCTGCCAGATCTAAATGTTATTACTAGTAATATATCTACAATGAAATAGTAGTGTATGTCAGCTAACTTTTATTGTAGAAAATTACTTTCACTTGAACATCTGGTAAACAGTATTAACTTTTTTCAGGTCAAATTCAACAAATAACTTTGATACGTTTCACCCCTAACCCAATTCATTCAATACTACTATTTGCAAGCATTTTTTAAAGCATTCACGGAATGATTTTCAACATAGAAAAGTTAATGGGTGAAGGTAATGGCAGAAAGAAAAAAAAATACTTTTTTTGCTCTTTATTGACTTTTCTTTTCCCCTGATGGGAAAATAATATCAGCATCACCCCATTACTCTTTAAACACTTCCAAACTTCCCTGATGTCAAAAACTATTAGAAAGCAAAAAAAATATTAAAAATTAAAAAATAAAAAAAAAAAACATTTTCAATTATGCAAAACAAATGGGGGAAAATGGTATTTAACAATATTAGAACACAAATAAAACATTAGGCTAAATAGAAAATGAAGGCCAGTCGTTTTTGTATTGAATTCCACAAACCACTCATTTTTTTATTTACTTCTTTGTTCTATCATTCTGACATATCTTACTGATCACTTATCTTGAAAATCAAAAAATCTTTCTTATTTATCCTGGCTGCCACTTAGCATCTGAGGAAACCTACCAGGGACATTCATGGTCACTACCACTTCCATGGGAACTCTTCTCAGTGATTAGCCCCCTCATGCCCCCCAAGCCCTTAGATTCATCCCCATCTTGCATCTTCATGTTTGTGCCCAAGATAGCCCTTGGCCTCATCTTGGTGCCTGTGCCATCCTTTAGAGTGTAGGGAGCTAGTTCCTCATTCATGCACACACAACACTAATTTACCAATCAGGGCAAGGGATTTGTGTTGGGAGGTTTTGGGAGTATACCTCAAGCTACAAACAGAGGTATCAAGGAAAACATCCTATTCAAATGTAACAGGACTTAGCCTTACACTCTAGCACCTGTGCCACCCAGGCCAGCCAAGAACGGCTGGAAACGATGGGAAAGGTAATGCAAGAAGGGTTCAAAAGCCTTCACAAAGATGAGCATAACAACAATTTCTGAATTTGTTTAAAATTCTTCTAATGATACAATCCTAATGGCAGCGAAACAAACAATGAAGTTTTAACTGAGAATTTCACTAATCAGCATAATCAGTAATTCCATCACTAAATTAACTGATATTGACAGATAAATATTCAAATGTAATAACGGTCACAATAAAATTCAGATTTTGCAAATGTTTCTAATTATCGAATACTTAATATTCGACAAATGTACTTCGATGGTAATTAGTGTTACAAATAACAATTTTTAAAAACTTGTTCATTATTATTACACAAAAATGATCCAATATTTGCACATAATGTTATGTACGTAATGACCTTTGTACTTTATAAACATTACACAGTTTTATTACCAGACTTTCACATTACATTGTAATTAAAAATGTAATGCATGTATACCTCATTTGATACTTTTGAGTTTAAAATACTAATAAAACTTTTTTCAAACGCAGTCATGATTTTGAGTATTACTTGTTGATGAATCCATTTTAAAAATCGGTAATGGAGTTGAACTAACATATGAGACTTGAACTCTCACAAATCGCCCAGGGGACATGCCTCACAAATGTGAGAAATAAGAAAGAAAAACCTCTTTATGGGAAGACTGGCTGCTAAAGGGTTCTTGGAGTGCTGGATGAATATATCAAGATTAAATATTATGAGAAACAATATTATGGCGAGTTATTATAGGTACATTATACGGCATATATTAGTGCATATTTTCAAAGATTTTGCTGTGTTTAATGCAAACATATTTCATAGATTATTAGTATGTATAAATCCAATACCTAGTTATTATGAACATCAATATAAGATTTTAGAAAAATTTGCATGGTGTTCAAGAAAAGAGAAGGTCTTTTGTTATGAAAATGGAATTATGTTGGCTAGCGAGTTACAAATGACATAATCAATAATGTAATTAAAATAGTATAGTGAATTTAATGTTTTGAAATATTCCCTGCTTTACAATGATCACACAAACAATTTCCACTTTTCATCAAACTCCTTTTTATGACTTTACTCTCTTTACCTAAACACCATTAATTGTACATACCTAGTAGACGTGCCTTTCCTGACGTCACACATTAGGCATTTAAAGGCTTCTGCCGTGTTTCTGTAAGTGCACACACTGCAATCCCAAAAATTTTCTTCTAAAACTTTTGCTTGGCGTTTAGTTCTTCTGAAACAAAACGCACATGCATAAAGATTCTGATCCAGAAAATATATTTAACTGACACTTATCTTCAATACTTGAATTTTAATTTCTAGAATAACAGGTGAAGAAAAATGTGATAAAAAAAAAAAAAAGCAATGACATTTTGCAGTAGGAATAAGGACTTCAATAAAACAATTAGAAAGAGGTATTAAAAGTAACATGAATTCAAATATAAATGCTAAAACCAAACTATGACTATTTTACTCAGAGTAATTTAAATACACAAAATATTATTTCTAATTCATCACATGTGTCTAGCATGTGAACATATTTTGAAGATATAATAGTATTGAATTAATTGTCCTCTTTAAGTAGAAAATGCAGCCAGAGTAATAAAGGATTTTAGTAAAATATGTATTTTAGCTTTACTTCGATTCTCTGCCCAGGAATGAATATCAGTTAATTTCCATAGTTTCTATTATGGCATTTTTAGAAGTTTTGCAGGATAACTAGACATTCTTAGGCATCATCATGTGGTTGCTCGTTATTTAAAGAATCATTAAGCGTTTCAAAACATTCAGTTCTATGTCCAAAGAGTACAAAAGCGATATGCATAAACATCTGGTCTACTCATTAGAAAACCAATAAATAAATATACCATAATAAATTTTAAAAATAATTTTCTTAATTTGTGTTGTCAAAAGCTAAAAAAATGTGCGACAACAACAATTTCTCATGCTTGTTTTCAATGTGTGAAAGAGCTACATTTTTCCCCTTCGTACTAGTAGTGAATCATCATGAAGCCTGTGCAAAGCCTCTTTTACACACAGCATGTTAAAAATTAATATAAGCAACATGTGCACACATTACTTTTCTTGCATACTCGTTAACTCGCATACTTTTCTTGCATACCTACTATTACTTTTTTAATTTTTGCATACTCTTTTCGGATTATAGAGAAAATATTGTAATGCTGCAGGAAAAATGGGACATTTTTCAACAGAAAAACTCTTATTACCAGACCCTGGTAATGAAAAAGTGGATAAATCTTGTTCCTCAATGCAGTATATTACTTCCTCTAACATGTGTAGTCAGAATCCAAGTTTTGGGGGCCCTTGATACCGAAATTCAATTGACGGAAAAACATGTCTGGTCAACGTGAGCGCCTAGACTGTTCATATGATTTTCTACCAATTCGATATACCCTGATCGATCAGAAAGAACTCTAGATCCTGCGAGTTTGAAACAGATATTTTGTTGTTTCACAATATACCACCAACAAAATATTTACCATTAAGCCTCAATATTTTCCAAATTCCCCACAAATAGCTCAAAATTCTTGGATTAAACTTTTTCCTCGGATACCAATAGCTCTTTCAAAGTTGTGTGGATCTCATTTTCATTGAAATAGCTAATATTTGGGAATCAACAAAGTTCAATTTTATTTCTGCATCTTCCTAAAACTACAATATTGAAGATAGTATAGAGAAAGTTATGCAATGCTGCGGAAAATCAATTTCCAGATTTCAACGGAAATACACGTTTTGGGGCCCCCTGATAGGGAAAAAGTTGTTGTTTTTTTTCCAAAATGTCAGTCCCTCCGGTGTATGTGAACAATACTAACGCCTAAACATGCGTAGGTAGTTTTTCAAATTTAAGAAACCCCTATCAATCTGGCATGAGTTCAAGCATTGAGATTTTTAAAAAAATTAAAATTTGGGGGTACTTTACATGAAACCCCACAGACATTTTCAAAATTTGCTCCAAATTTTCTCAAAACTGCTCCAAATTTTTCTTTAAATTTCTTGTAATAGAGTAAAATTCACTTATAGAGGTGGCATATGTTCGATTTTCACAGTTAACTCTAATTTTCAAAAATTGCATAAGTTTGAAGTTTCTTCTCATCTTCCTAAAACTACAAAATTTACGATATAGATTTTTCCATAAAGTGACATATTTTCTCGATAATTTGTTCTTTCATTAAGGTTATATACACTTTTTTGCAACTTTTAGTAGTTTCCGCACAATATTGCATACAATATGTGCAATTTTAAAAAAATCACAAAAACAAGATTTTTTCTCAAAAACGGCTCCAATTTTGTTCTTTACGCTTTGGTAGATAGAGCTAAATGTACTCTATAAAATGACATAAACATCAGTTTGCTCTATTATTTCTTTTTTTTTCTCTCAAAAGTTACAAAAATTTAGTGTAATTTTTTGACTTGCCTCTTATGTCATTAATATTTATATTACAGGCAATTTGTTTTCATTATTATATTTATAGGTACATGAACTTTAAATAATAACAGATAAAGTTTCTCGAAAACTCAACTTTTTTTTATGTGAAAACTAGCTCAAAATTCCACATTTACAGATAGATCAAACTTTATTTTCTCAAAAATGGCTCCACATTTTTTCTTCAAACTTTTCTAATGGATAGTGCTAATTGCACTCATTAATAAGACAAAGTTCATTTTGATTTTTTTGTTGTTTTTTCAAAAACTACGCAAATGTATATTTTTAAATATCTCTCATGATATTAATAAGCAAATTTCCAGCGATTTGTAACACTATTGCAGTTTTAAGTTAAAGTGCTTCAAATGTAGTTTATCAAAATCAAACAATTTCAGTGAGAAAGAGATTCAAATTGTGCATTTACAGTAATGCTTCAACATTTTCTTAAAAATGACTCCAAACGTTTTAATGAAAATTGCCATTTAGAACGAGGTTTTACTCTTCTTTGATATCCCGAAGTAATTTTTCAGTTCTACCATTCGGAAACCGAAAAATTGAGAAAATTTCAAGAAACTGAACTTCGGGCAGCTATAGATGGCAGCCGGCAAGAGTATGTGGCAAGTCAGAAGAGTTAGCCCGAACCAAAGAAAATAGAAAATTAATACAAGAAAGTCTGTGACATTCTGTAGCACAACTAGATTTTTAACTAAATCTGCTGCTTAAAGATAGATCTTGAAATAAGATTGTACATAATTTTTCAGAAATATGAGTACTTTCAATCAATTTTGCATGAAATACAGGCAATTTAAAACAATTTTTTAACAATGGCGTGCTGCGGAACTTCTGAGCGCTCGCAGGGGCCCTACACGACATTGGACAGGTGTACCAGTTTTTTTGGCTCTTCAATGTATAAACATTGTAGAATTCACGACCATTGATGAAATAAGGGATGCAGTTCACAGGATTTGTCAATTATGAACAATGAAACAATTAGTTTGCCAACGTTTCGGAATCTTTTAATTCCTTCATCAGGGCTAGAGTACAAAAACAAAAACCAATGCACAAATACATTAATTAAAAATTAACAAATCACAAAATTATAATATCAAAATAAACAATAACCAAAACAATACCTTATTAATATATTAGAAGGTCAAGCGTCATATCCAAACCAACTCTGACATGGAGTTGCTACACCACATGGATCCATCCCGAGAAGTCTGAATCAGGTCAAGGCCCGAACATAAATGAATGAGAACATGAAGTGTCATGACCACGTGCTGTAGCCACGCCATGCCATGAAAAACCATGTGTATCTTAAGTATTGAAGTATTTTAAGGTTACATACTTCCGACATAAAAAATCGGTTTGTAAATATAAGTAACTTGACTGCTTACTTTGTCTTGGCCCAAAATTTACTACACGACACCAATCAGCAGTATTTTAATTGAGATTCAAGAAATTTCACCAGCACAACTAAGAAAATTTGTCATATACTCTAAAAAATCTCTCTCTAAGCATGTACTCATATTGGCAACATCAAAAAACCCAATCATTTATAATGATATGTTGCGTAAATCTCAGAGTTCAAAAGATATAATCCCATGGCATGCACTTTGTACAAAACTATTAAAAACATTCTTGAAGAAATTGATTTTGAAATACTCTAAATGGAAATGAGAATCTACAGTAGTCCGTAATGGATTCTTCATACTATTAATAGTGATTTAACCCTCAGAGAATATAAAAAAGAAAAATTAACAACAGAGGAATAGGACAGTAATTCTCTGAATGGAATAAACAAATACATTAACTACACCCAAGTGCATACTGACAAGGCAAAAATGGAAACTAAGTCGGATCAGCCATTTATTCACACAATTTCAAATTAAAACAGACTCTCCACCTAATAACATCAATAAAACTGCAGAATTATATTCCATATTACTCTCTTGAAGAGAGATTAAAAAATCTTCTGAGAACCAAAAATATATCATATTTACAGACACCCTCGCAACAGTTAAAGAAATTAGATCAGAAATCAGATCTTCATCAAATGAAGATCAGAAATAAAGAACGGTATTCACGAAATCCACCACAATAAAACAAATCAGGCAAAAAAAAAATTGTGATCAGATTTACCCAACCGAAACAATCCAATTTAAAGAAATCTGGTAAAATATCAATCGAAAATAAAAACCTTAACTGGAACAACCTTTGGCGCACATATAAATCCTGCAACATCCATCAGTCAATGAGCACCTATTTTCTCATCAAATATTAACAAGAAAATTCATCACAGGGAGCAAACTGTCCTTTTAAGAATAAGATCTGGACATTCCAACGTAAGCCATCTAAACCTATAGCAAAATTCATCTCCCCAGACTTGCGAACTTTGCAATACTAAACTTGACCTTGAACATATTTGGAGTATGCAGCAGATATAGTCATCAGAGGCAGTCATTTGGATTCAAATATGATGACATCCTACATTCATCAAATCAAGACAAATAATCATCTTTTGTAAAGCTATCAATATATGTACTGAAATTTATCCCTATTTTTTTATATCAATGTATTCCTCCCAAGTATGATTTAATACCACTTAAAGTATATTGTTAAAATGTAATATTGCTTTTGTCAAATAGCATAATTTCTGTAATCACACCGAATGTAATACAATACTTGTAATAGTTGCTAATAACCAAGTTGATAATGCAACTATAAATAAATTAATTCAAAAAAATTAACACTGAAAATTAACAAGGAAATACTGAAAAACCTTTATATACTTCAACAACTTATAAATGTCATCATCCTAACTCGTATATCTATACCACATATTATAAACTTTCATTAGAACAAACCAATGTTATGACATGGCCTAAATTAATTAGAACTGCCCAATCTTTAATAAACTATATCAAATCCACCCTTGGAAAAATTTAGAATTTTTAAAACTTATGCAACTGCATTTCCAATTATATTTCAACAGAACGTCCTTGTTTTCACAAAAAGGACAAGAACAAGAACTTTTCAAATACATATGCTGACAGCTGAAGGCTTTGGACACAATGAAGAGAGGATTTACTAATAACTAATATTCAAAATTAGCAACGAAATTTCTCTGTAAAATCACAAAATAATACTGCGCATGCATGCATGCATGCATGCATGCATTCTGAATTATTCAATAACAATTCAACAAAGAAACAATATGCAATTTAAAATAACAATATTGCAATTGTGTGAACTGATTACTGAAACTAAATATGTTTAATTGAATACTGAACAGAACCTATACCTTAAACATAAAAATTGCAGAATTGTACCGTAGAAAGTATTTCCTAAAAGAACTGTATAGGAGAAAAAATGTATACAATTTAAGTGTGCAAACTTCTAAAAACAATGATGAAAATAAAAATAGAAAATTAGTATGCCCCATAAGAAAAGCTAACAAGCTTTCAATGAAATTACTGATAGTTCGTTCTCAATATTCTTCCATTTCAAGCACATCCAACAATTTATTTCTTATAACATGATAAAAATTTTATTAACTTAATTTTGAATGTATGTAGGATACACGCTAAAGAAGTAGCACGTCACCCATATAAAACACTTTCTCTTTTAAATTAATTGCATTCTACAATAATAGTGTCTCCTTACTATTATCTAGTGCAACTGTCACTGCAAATCTTAGGACTCAAAAAAAAAACCCACTCTCAATACATTCATGTTCAACAACACAGACAATCACAATTTCAGTAAGTACACAGGAATGGTATTAATAGCTAACAACTTTCAATTTGTTCAAAATCACAAATGTATAATTAACTGAATTACAATGATGGAGTAAATCATCCTGGTCACTCATGGGCATTTCAAAGGTTTTATAATCCATTTTGTTAAACTGACGTTTCTACATAATAAACCCTTCATTATATTCAGAAATTAAAATTAGGCAAACGATGAATATTTTATACAGATTTACATTTTTCTACTTTATGGTTCACAATAAATTATCACAGCACAAGTTAAAAACAATTCTCATTATTCATATTACTGTGGCAATTGACCCCAAAAACAACCAATTCTTTTTTTGAACATTACTTTCAAGAAATATTCCCTATTATTTACTATTCTGCAGTCTATCATACATGAACATTGCTATAGAAAGATCCTTTCTACAAATATTATGAATCAAAATGCAAACTATCACACAATTTCTATGACTTATAGGTATTAAAAATTAAAATGAAGTTAAGACTATATGTGGCAAAGGCACAGTTTTCCATTCCAATCCCCAATTAACAGAAGCGACCAATACAACATGAACAACTTCGCATTTCAGGTATAGAAATGTTGACCACCACCTTCAGCACTAAACATAATCCATTCCGAGATGAAAACAGGGCAAATAATTTCCCAATAGTGCACCCACAAATCAATAAAATACATCACAAAGCTGATTTCACATGTAACCTTCACAACATATTATAAAATAGGATTTAAATTTTGTGCTAATTTTAAAAACATCACTAAAATTTGTGTTATAAAGTGTACCAATCAATTACATTTATTCAGAAGAGTCAATTCGACAATGGTAAAGTAATAACTTTATTTCGAAATAAATAAATATATATATATATATTTACATGCCTTCAATTTCAACAATTAGCTACTGTATTTGAAGCATTACGTAATAGACAGTTAACTGTAAAAAATTAGAGAAAAGTGGATAGGCAAGACATGACTTCAACTGTTACATTTTACTAACTTTGCAATTTACCTTTTGTCACTATTAGTTTGTTTCTTAATTAACACTACACTTTCACACTAGACTATTTTTTGCAAAAAAAATAAATAAATGCATAAACAGCATTATATTCATATTTTTACATAAGAGCAAGTTTTTTTAATATGAAAAAAACACATATTCATATGTCAGCTGTTTTCTTGTGTATGTGAAATGACAACTTCATAAAAGCCAGCTGAATTGAAAATCAGAAAATTTATCAATTTTCTAAAAATAAATATTAAAAATTGACTACCATGCTTAAATGCAAAATTCCACTATTGAAAATGATATTTTAAGAACTGGTAATTTTAAGTGATGGCAACTATATTAACTTAAATTTTTTCTTAATTCACAAGTACTAATTCTTCCTTGGCATTCACCAATTAAAATGAAAAAATAAATTTTAATTTATCAAACTTCCTTACTGCAGTTACTAGTAGACTTTAATAGATTTAAATAACATATCTTCAGCATTTATCAATAACATATTCAAAATACAGAAATTAAAAGAAATAGAGTTCACAAAATATTGAAATTTAAATGACACTTCGAACTACCAAGCAACAGATAAAAATATTATGGAAAATCCAGCATATGTAACTTCTTACAGTAAAACAAGTATTGTAGAAAATGCTTATGAAGAAAAGATTCAATTCCTTCATATTCTCAAACAAATTGTTGAGCGAGGTTGTCAAATGTGTGCACATAATTGACATGCTGATTTATTTATTTTTAAAAAATCTATCGTCTCATTATTACATTTCTGTTCTCTCAGTACACAGAATTACAACACCCACAAAATACTATATGTACATTACTACATAACTCATCAAAAACCCCAAAGGATGCAAGCAATATGCTACTCAACAGTAAAAAGTTGCAATACTAGGAAAACTATCCATGTACATTTGCAATGACTAATGAACAATATACCTAATAAACACAATGTTTACATTACACATTGTTCTATAAAGAACTATAATATCAACAAACGATTTGTGACTAACTTTGAACACATTACTAAATATACTTTCTAAATGCTCTTACACAAACACAACCCTTCATTCCCACAGGAACTACATTTAATACCTACTCCAAATCATCCATGAACAACAAAAAAAAGCCTTGTTCAAATCAACACTAAAATCGCAATTAGAGAAAAGGTTTACATACTGTGGTATTTTATGCAGGCTGGATTGTTTCAATTCCATGATAGGGTTTTGTTTACCCTGTACGTGCTTCAACAGTCAATCAATTCTCATTAAAAAAAACTTCTTCTGTAGTCAATTAGTTGAGAATTGTATGTTACTGATGTGTAACGACGATAACTGGAAACATGTATCGTACAATAAAGCACTTAATTACCTATTTGGACTCTTCTTTTGGTCCATCTTCCGTTGCAACCGCCCAGCTCGAGAGGCGGTCCTCTGAGCTTATGGCTTATGCGACGTTCGCATCCGTTCACCACATACGGGTTACGTTCTGGTTACTGTGTGGTTTAACTTCGAGAGCGCAGTTGAATATGATATTTGGTCATTTTCTAATCGCAAAAGCATTGGGAAATGTCCTGAACACACCGAGAAAAAATTCTACACTGTTACCTACTATAAAAAATCAAACAGTAGACTTAAAAATCATGATATCAACATTATCGGACTGCCAACAGTGCAGAAAAACCAATTTTGAACTCATTTATTTTACGACTGTGCCAGCAATGTAATATGACATTTAATTTATTCTCGAAACAATATCACCCAAAATGAATGTTGGTTTTTTCAATATTTTAAGCAAGAATTTATCCGAGGTTACTGTTCTCAGCACACATTTTTCAATTAATTCACTAACACATCGGTCGGTGCACTGTGTGGAATGCGCTAATACTATTGTGTTCTACTTAGTTTACACCAAGTATTTCCTCTTCGACGCTTATGACAACTGAAACTACAAAATTTCTCGCAAGTAATATATAGCTCTATGTTTTTACCAAACCATATAATAACCTGTACCAAGTGGAGTAGAAATAAACATTTGACGAGGCCATAGTGGCGCATATTTGCTCATAGTATGCACTTGTAACCGTTCAGATGCGATTTCTTTTGATTCTTAATTATGGTACTTTAGCCTTGGCATATGTAAAAGTATAGGTGTCACCAAATATTGAGGTTGGGCTTATCTTGAGATGTCATTAATGACAACAGAAAAAACACAATTTTGACTCTTTGGTCACCTCTGTGGACCTGGTAGTGATACTTTAACTTTCTGGCTACCGCTTACACAGCAGAAAGAAAGTTATGTAATGCTACGCGAAAAAACGGCGAATTTTCCGCAGAAAACTCTTATTACATGGCCCTGATAATGAAAAAATGGATAAATCCCATTGAAAAATTTAGAGAGGAAATATTCTAACTCGTAGTGTAGTCAGAATCATAATCCCCAATTGATCTGGCTGATGTCGCGGCCCCTTGAATTTGAAACCGATATTTTAATTTAGGGGGGTACATTGCATGAAGCCCCTGGAACATTTTCAAAAAAAAAATGGCGTCAACGTTTCTGATTAAACTTTGTTATTGGAAAATGTGAAGGGCTTTTAAGAAAATGGCACAGGTCTCATGTTCATTAAAAAATTCAAAAAATGTTTGGAGTCTTCCTACAACTACAATTATGGAGATAAACACTTTTTTCTTAATGAATTATGTTCATGAAAAACATCTAAAAATAATGTAATAAACATTTTCAAAAATGTGAGTATTTTTTGCAAACTTTTGTCTCAAATATAGGCCATTTTTTATTTTCTTTAAACATTTTTTTCTTGAAAACGACACACATTTTTTGTTTAAATTTAGACTTTAGATAGCGTAAAGAAAGCTTAAAAAATTGTTGTGCAAGTCCTATGTTCGTTAAAATGTTTAATTTTTCGAAAATAAAAAAAAAAAAAAATTTGCAGCGTCTTCCTACAACTACAATTGTAAAGATGCATATTTTTCTTAATGGAATGTATTAATCAAAAACAGGTCTTCATTTTTCAGAAACGTGACGTCAAACACAGTCGCCCGCTCCGAATTTCCTTCGCTTCGTGAACGTAATAAAGGTGATTCCACGCAATTGGATATGTTAAGTTAGAATTTGGATATTATTTCATATTTCTTTGTTCGTTTTTTACATTCCCGCTTTTGTTATACGTTTACAAATGAATATTTTAGAAATTATTTAAAACCTATTTAATAATCCGTATTTTTTGTCCGTGTTGAAAGGAATGTATTTCCATTTTCATTGTATTGATGTATTTGCAAAACTTCATGATTCGTTTTCAACGTTTTCGGTGTCTTCCTTCGACTACAATTATGAAGATAACTTTTTTCTTACAAAAACAGGCCTTCAAATAAAGTCATGATCAATTTTTCTTAATGCATTTTTTTGCGTAAATTGGAAAAGAATTTGAAATGGTAAATTCGAATTTCCAGTGCTTCGTTTGAGACGGTCTGTAAAAGTAATTTGAGAGGCGGAGGCAGTTGGATATCCTGAAAATCACTTCTCATTGTTTAACTTAATATTACTTAACTTAATATTACAAATCGTCGAACATTAGGTGAGAAAACTTAAATCTATATTTTAGTAGCAATGTAAATGCATCACTTTACAGTATTTCAGTAAAGCTCCTGAGTGTGCGGACGTGCAGATGTGTGTTTTTGCCATTCCGTCACTAGCGTATAAAACGGGGGGTATGTTTATTTACTGGAAAAACCCATGAGGCCCAGTACTTCATTCTTAACCACGGACGCTCTATTTTATTAAGTAAGTTAGAAATATTGCGAGGAAGAATATGATTTCTCGGAACCATTTGCTCGAAGAGCAAAGTAACATTCTGGTGATTATTTTGGAATATTTATTGCTTTCAGATTTTCATTTAGGGCCTAAAGACTATTATATTTCCTCAGATTTATAAGATTTATCTTGATCGATATGCGCCCGGTGTTGCCGACTTTTATTTTTATTGCAATTTACTTAATTAATTTAATTATAATTATCGTTTTAATGATAATTTACTATTGAATATAATTTTGTACAACGTTTATTTAATGTACGTTATTTTGAGATCCCCTGGGGACACCGCCTTGAAGTAGCACTGTCCGTGCGGGCGGGGAGGCTTGTGTGCTTCGGTGA